TTTCTAAATGTTTAGTGTTTCCTTATATCTAACCTCGTATCCAGAGGGTATTTTCCAAAGGTCCTAAAACGAATACTGCTAGATGTCTTTTGTTTCCTTGTACCTATCACAACCTAACCTACCGTAAATCTTCGCAAACCTAACTCAAAACCTATAATCTAACTTTGTGATTCTAACTAAATATAACCTTATGATTCTAACTAAATATAACCTTATGATTCTAACTAAATATAACCTTATGATTTTAATATATTCTAACCATCCTATGCTAAGCGTAACTTAAATTTAACCTAAACCAACATTTACTCAACCTAAAATAACGATTTCTAACCTTACAATTCTAAGCTAATCACTCTAACCTAAATGTAACATAAACTGAGTTAAACCATATCTAATCTAACCTAAACCTGACCTAACCCAACCTATCTAACCTAACCTAACCTAAAATAACGATTTTACCCTAATTTAACATTCATAAACTTTCCTAACCTTACGATTTTACTCCAAATATTCTATCCTATACTAAACCTGAAATAACCTAACCCTTCTCTAACCTAAGCTAAACCTAACCTAACCCATCCTATATCTAACCTAAAATAACGATTTTACTCTAACTTAACAATTGTAACCTAACTATTCTAAACTAAACGCAACCTGAACTACCCTAATCCATACCTAACCTAACCTAAACGTGACTTAACCTAATCTACACCTAACCTAACCAAATCTAAACATTATCTAACCACCCAACCTAAAGCTGATCTAACCTAACTTATCTAACCTAACCTAACTAACACAACCTAATTTAAACTAACCTAACCCTAAGATTCTACCCTAACTAAACTTTTCTACCCTAAACCTTATCTAACCTAAAATATCTAATTTATATGTAACTTAACCTAATAAATCTAACATAACCTATCCTCAAGAATATATCCTAACGTAACAATTCTAAAACTTAACCTATCCATTCGATTCTAACCTAAACTTAACTGTTCTAATGTAACCAAACCTTATGGTTCTAACTAACCTAACCATTTGAACCTACAAGTAAACCAACCTAACTCAGACCTAATTAAGCCTAACATAAGTATTCTAACCTAAATTAACATAATGTATATATATATATATATACATAGTGAGAGAGAGAGCAGGAGAAGAGAGAGAGAGACAGAGGAAGAGAGAAAGACAGGGAGATGAAAAATATATATATACATATACATAGAGAGAGAGAGAGAAGAAAAGAGAAGAAGAGAGGAGAGTGGGAGGGGGAGCGAGAGTAGAAGAGAGAGAAAAAGATGCGAGAAAGGTTGAGAGAGAATAAGAGAGAAGGGAGGAGAGAGGAAAGAGAGGGGGGGGGGGGAGAGAAAGGAAGAGAGAGAGATGACTTGAGTTAAGCCATCTATGCGTAAAAGGCCAACCTCTGCAATACTTTCTTCACGGATCACCATAACTACGCATGTGTAGAAATATGAACTCAATACTTGGTGATGTTTAATTATGTCTAATTCAGTTTCGGTTAATCTGAATGCTATTTACCCACATTTGATCAGCTGAGCGAGAGAAAGCATATTTTGTTGTTTCAACTCGAGGGTGGCTCTTAGAACTTCCTAGAAGGGAAAATAAACATATATGTATAGATAGATATTTCTTTTTACATGTTTTTATTTTATTTTAGCTTTATTTGGTATGGTGCTTATTAATTTCTAAGATATTTTACTATCATTTTATTGCTAAAAATAACTATAATATTAATTGTAGAAAAGAAAGACCAATACTGGGGGCAGTCATAATTACAATAAGAACTATCTATCGTTATTCTTATCTTTGTTAAATCCCCGGGACAGAGATGACGTGATGTCCCGCTTTCCTACTTAAGACTTTCCATTCCCTCTTAGCATGGTCTGTCTTGATGTTGGGAGGTTTTTCCACATTAACCGTTTCCCAAACATTAACAATATTCGCCAAGAAATCTTTCATCGCGTTTCAGCCACGTGCTTAGCTTGGATGCGGAAAGACTTTCATGTTTTTTTGGTCATGAATCCACTTCGTAACTGGCCTTCACGTGTGTATTGGTCACTTATCATGCACCATTCCACTATTTTCTTATAGAGACTGTAATTACTTCATTGCTATGGAGCAGTTACTTTTCACTTAATAGGACTTTGATCACGACATTCCGGTGATACGTCCTTGTTTATTCTTTATAATGAATTTTCGTTCAAGAATGTAACAAATGCACCCGGAATAAAAACGTGATGGAATGGGCAATGAAGCACTCATAGTCCCTTAAATTTCATGCTTATTCATGCCACATATATAAATAAATAAATGTGTGTATATATATATTCAATGTCACTATCCATGCGTATTACTAATAACAAAATATGTAATCAAGTTATGATTATGAACATCACACTAAATATATCTTCCAATATTATAAAAGCAGTGACGCTATGCCCATGGCATGGAAGGTGCCCCAGTTCATATGTTTAAAGCA